GTCTGCACCAAGAATGCATCAACTACTATTCATGCATATTCTTTAATTAATTAATAATAATCCCCTTTTGCAATTTATTAATTATAATTATTGAAATAAACGTAGGGTTTGTACATGTACAAGATCTAGGACCATATGCCTAAATCTTTATGCTTATAAAATAATTAGGTCTCGTTTGGTTGGAAATATCAGCCATAATTAATTAAATATACGCTGTTAGGACTAGCAATCTAACTCAATGAGTTTCAAATTTTTTAATATTTGGTATATCCAATAACTTCATAAATCGACCTGCCTTGAATTTTTTTTTATTGGATATCATTATTTTGTTTAATTTTATCTTGACTAATATTATTTTGACAAACAAACGAGGCATTAATATACTACTCAGTTTATGTCATGGTTCGTTGTTGACAGCATAACAAAAATTTAAGTTGTATTTTAAGTTAATGCAATATTATTGTGGTTGAGTAGGGTTCTGAAAATCAAATAAAACAACTTCATGCTCGACCCAAAATCGATCATTAAAAAATCATTTATTATTGTATGAACAAAATTTAAATATTTATATTCCCGTTTAATAAGAATAAAACTCAGACTCGGCTATCACTGAAATAATATATTAAACCATTTGATTTCGATTAATAATTGTTTAATCTTGATTTAATTGGGAACCAAATTGAGCAAAAAATGACTTTTAAAATTTAATATTTAAAAAAAAAAATGGAAACTACGGCTGCCCTTGAGGTATGGTCAAATTATGAAAAAAAAACCCTATTGTTTGGATAATTACAGCCCCTTTTAAATATTTGTATATAATATTTATGTAATTCGGTTATTTACCGAACCGAATCGTATATTCGGTTTGGTAAACGGTATGAAATGTTGGCGTACAGATATTTCGGTTTGGTTTTATCGATTTAACATCCCTAAATTTACCTCTGGATGGGCTTTTTTTGTAAAATAATACATAGTTCAGGAGTGGCTGTAATTACCCAAATATGATGAGGGTTTTTGTAATTTGACCAAAACTCAGGGGTAACCGTAATTTGCCATAAAAAAATGATTACTTCAATTATACCACTAATTTACCTTTTATCAAGCAAAATGAAAAAGCTTAAAATTTTAATTCAAATATTTAATTTTCAACCTTTTGCCAATATTTGGGGATTTCATTTAATTTGTGTATAAAGTATATATGAAGCATGTTGAATGATAAAGATGTGTGCAAATTGCAATAAACCACTTGGGAGTGGCAAACCTCATCAACTCTATATTGAAACCTTTTTTTTCTCAAAACTTTTGCTTTCATGACCAATCCATCTCAACAACTTCATCAACGAAGTGAATTTAACCACATTTTAAACATATAGTATTATTTATTTATTTATTTATTTATTTATGTTTTAAAACGACGACGATTCATATGTATAATATAATGTAGAAATAAGATAGTCCAAATTCAATTAACTTAGAGCAAGGTTTCATATATCATCGCTTACATCACATTACATGCGTAACAACATTCTTTATTTTCAATTAATTTATCCCACTTTCATTTCTATTTCATTATTATTTGATACTTCTAATTTTAAATTTTATATTTAGGAAGAGTTGCCAAAATTTGTGGATAAAAATCAAGACCCGGCTCCCAGTCGGGTGGGTGCAGGCTGTTTCCGTGTTGTAACCCGGTCAAAATAAAATTAGTTCTATATTTATTGTTCAAAATACCCCTTACAGTATAATTTGCATCAGTTTCATCCAGAATGTCCGGACTTAACTAATATTGTGACCGTTACATTATTTTAATAGAATACAAATCGAGAATTTCATCCCTTCTCGTCGTCATCTATGAAGTCATAACGTGGTTCAATAACATTTTCTTATATAAAGATTATGATATAATATTATTATTGTCGACATGGCTGCGTAACTACAGAGTTTTACTTAATCAATCCATATTTGACAACTATTAATTAATTAAACCACATTAACTAATCGTCAAAATTCACATCAATCAAAAGATCAAATGCCAATTTTCTATCTGGAGAAGATTTGTTCAATATGGAATATCAAACATACTGTTTTACTTAGGGCCGGACATGTGTCCGTTTTATCGGTCAACTGGTTTATTTTTTGCTGTAAATTATCGAGGTTAAACTATATTATTAGGTATTTATACATTGGTGATCAAAAAATGAAATTTTTCGAATTCCCCCAATTTCGGTCCTGAAATTACCGATTTTGGATTAAGGTTTTTTCATTTCAATATTTCCAAATTTTGTAACGGATTTGGATTTAGTTTTTCACTTCCAAAAAAAAATTAAAATTTTCCGAAAAGGCTAATTTTGTTCAGATATGTCCGATTTACACTCTTAATCAAAAGGCATATATCTTGCTCTTCATTATCAAGAAGAATTTTCTTCTAGTTCCGTTATGTTACACACTAACATGAATTAATCTTCAACGCGGTATTTTAATATTTAATATTTATATATACATTTTGTGTTATAAAAGTCTCTTAATTAAAATATTTTTTGACAATAAAAACATTAGAGCATGCTTCCGACCACTGCAAATATTCTCCAAATATGCCTTTAGTATTTTCTTCATATTAAAAGTATCTAAAATTTAAGATTCTATTTACTAATTTGTCTTGTTTTCTCGTTGACTTCCGACCAAATGGCATGGCTTAATCTTTGTAGGGTTAAGATTCCCACAATATGTTAATCATGATTAAGGATTTATGGTCAAATTCAAAGTCAACGCGATGATGGCACCAAGCATAAAGTCAACGCGATGATGGCACCAAGCATAAAGTCAAAATGAAAGCATAAGGTTAGCCAGCATATAAAACTATGCAATTTTACGATAATCCAATTGTAAAATTGGATTAATGGGGTCCAATTAATAATTTCAATAAATAAAATATCTATTTCATTTCTTCTTTTGTGATCTTATCTCAATAGGACTCAATTTTTTTCCGGGTAAGTAACACTTAACCCCTTGCAGTTTAAACTTTATACACATGATCCCATGTAATTTGAATTTTCTGCATATAACCTCCTTGTACTTTTAATATAAATATATACCCCCATATGATATTTCACTTGGTAAATAATTATGGTTATTTAGAAGAGAATGTTTTTCAAAGCACAAGGCTATTATGTGCTTATATTAAAATATAAAGGGTCACCGTGTGCTATATTGAAAACATAAAGGGGTCATATGTACAAAGTTCAAACTACAAGGAGGTAAGTGCTATTTACCTTTTTTTTTTTTTTTTTTTTGGTTATGTAATAGCATATCGGCCCAAAAACATTATTGCGCTGACTAAAAATTAAATAAAAAATGAATCGATTTCTTACGATTAAACAACCATGGGTGATGCATCGTGCTGGCTTAAAGGATAAATGGTGTCCGGCTAGTACATTTTGATATACAATTAAACATTTATAAATTAATACAGTCGTAACTAGTAAAATTCTATTAGTATAATGAAATATTAAATTATCGAACTAATTTTTACAAAGAGTCAGGATATGGAGAAACAATAATTCAAACGAAGTTATTAATTTATTGAGGTTCTACTGGTAATTCAAATGTACACACGAATTGACATAAAAGGACTGAAATAAATACAAATGTTGTAACGCACCCCCAAGTAGTGCACTAAATACAAAAGTGATGAGATTTTTAATTTTGTAGAATTAAAATTTAAAATTAGGAGGACCACATGTGCAAAACTTGTGACATAATAAATACCAACTCCCATGTTCGAGGATGCGTGAATTTGAAGCATCATAGATTTATACAATCCCATACTTTAAGACCAAATCTCATTTAACAATTTTTGTGTGACAACTATTGTTGATATTTCTTTTGTCGCTATGCACTTCATGTACCCATCACTAACTACTTATACTTTGAAAAAAATAAATAAATTGTTTTATTAACCTCATAATTCGATGTCATTTCATGGTTGGCACGGAAATTTTCTTGTCAATGGTCGTTACGTCGAGTTTACCACACATAGTTGGCCTAGTTTGAGTTACGTATCGCATATGATTTGCAAGCTATTATACGAGGGTGTGCACATATATGGTTTGTCACGAGTTTCGTCATTACAAAAAAAAAAAAAAAAAAAAAAAAAAAAAATTACTCGTCAGATTTCGGCCTTTTTGTACTGCCCTTTTTACATGATGTGCTCAAATTGATATCCAGGGCTTGAGCCCAAGCCTCAGAAATATGTTAAAGGCCCATCCCAATAGTCGGTTTTTCTTCTTCTTTTTTTCCCTTTCCTTTCCTTCCCTTTTTTTTTTTTTTTTTTTTATAAATTTAATTCAGAATATGTTTTAGAAAAACAAAATATGAAATGAGTATGAAATTAATGGGGTTAGTTCGACACCATTGGGCCGAACTCCCAATACTCAATTAGTGGGCTAAAAGCCCAAATGAATCGTGAAAAAACCAAATGAGCTGATAAAAGAAAGTCAGACATAATTGAGCCGAACTCCCAATAGTTGGGGTCATTGGGCCGAAAAACCCAATAAACCATATAGAGCTAAAGTTATGTCAAGAGCTCGCTCTACCTACCCGGAGCTCACCTATTTAGAGTTTTGTAAAGTGGACCTTGCTACAAGGAACTAAGGATTTCACCATCTGCTCCGGGTATGACTTAGACGAGGACAAAGGATGTGTGGTAGATGGCGAAATGATATCAAGACTTGAAAGACTTGGATTGCGGATTATGAGATTTCACGCGGCAATGATAATCAAATCTTGATTGAATTAAGGGGTTCTAGAATAGACATGTTTCCTTACAAACTCTCTCTATAAGCAAATGAATAGTTAAATTACCATACTCTCTCGTCAAACACTCTTTGTCTTCGACGGCGATTTAAAATCCAACATCTGGTGTGCTCTCCAACAGTTAAAAGGAGTAGAGTTTAAAGGGAGGTCTTGAGGCTGTAGATCTTGCTCCATTATCATATATGAATACTAACTTTGTTGAATCATATAAAATATGATTCCATATTATTTTTCTATGCACATATATAAATCAAAATTCTTAGCTTCAAAAAGCTAAGTGAATACAAAAGACAATTCTTACAAGGTAATATGATTCACATCTTCAAAACACTCATCTCATATTTAAGGAAAGAATCATAAAAATCAAGAAAAGTGAACTTGTTCCAAATACAACTAAACAAGATTGCTTCTTGTCCAGGACTTGCAAAATTAAATATAAAACCAAAAAATGCCAACATTTAAACACAATAATTCATCTTAATTAATTAAAAAAAACAAATTTAATTTGTTCTTAATAAACATATGTATACATGGCTCCTGATCCTAAAAAAGGAAGTATCGTGACTGTCTTAAGCATCGACGGAGGTGGCATTAGAGGCATAATCCCAGCTACGTTTCTTACATTTCTCGAATCCAAGCTCCAGGTATTTTTTTTTCTCTATTAATTTTTTGTTCTTACAAGTACTAATGCTGCATAGGATAATAAATGTAACATAACAATTCTGATTATACAAATTTTTATTTTTTAAGGAATTAGACGGGCCGAATTCAAGACTCGTAGATTATTTCGATATAATTGCTGGAACTAGTACAGGGGGTTTGTTGGCAACGATGATTACGGCCCCTAACAAGGAGAATCGGCCTATGTACACTGCCGAGGAAATTGTCGACTTTTATTTGGAGCACTGTCCTTGCTTATTTCCTGGTTGTGAGTAAGTTTTTATTTTAATTTAAATAAAATTATTAGCTAACATATGCTCCTGGTTATTAAATACTTACGATTTATGACTCGAATCATCGATTAATTTGTTTTTTATGATTTAATAAGTTCTTACATTTTTTTTACGAAATCAAAGCTTGTGTTAATTTAATTTGTTTTGTATTGAAATTATTTTTGGCTTGAAATACAATCAATTAATAATAGATGTAGTTATTCAAATTGAAATATAGCATAGTTTTATGCAAATAATTCAATTTAAGGAGCATCATCACCTCATTTTCTTGGTAATAAATTTGAATTAAATATAAAAACCTTATGATCTACAATTTCGATTCAATTTCCGATTCCGGCTTCTAATTGAAATATTTGCTATGCAAATTAAAATTTCGATGTTTAATTAAATAAAGTACTAATTAATAACAACCAAAAACGCGGTGTGTGATGAAGGCGGCATAACGTGGTGAAGACGATTAAAAACTTATTCGGGCCGAAGTACAACGGCAAGTATCTTCGGACATTGCTAAGGGAATTACTGAGTGAACTCAGAATAAAGGATACATTAACTAATGTTGTTATTCCAGCCTTTGATATCAAGCGCCTTCAACCAGTTATCTTCACCACCACAGATGTATGTATCACATATATATGCCTTTTATTTTTATTTTTTTTACTTTATGTTATTTTATAGATTGAAATGGAAATTGAATTTGAATTGATATTCTTCTGCTAACAAAATTTTGGGCAGGCAAAGGAAAAAGCGTACAAAAATGCAAAATTATCGGATATTTGCATAAGCACGTCCGCGGCGCCTACTTTTCTGCCGGCACACTATTTTGAAACGGAAGACGAACGAGGAAATGTGACCACTTATGACCTCATTGATGGAGGTGTTGCGGCCAACAATCCTGTAAGTTTTTCGATTAGAGATATTAAAAATGTTTTAAAGTTGTGTTTTTGATCGAAAAAAATTGGATTTCGTGAGATAATTTGAAAGAATTTACGATTTTAGTACTACATATTAAGTCGATTTCAAGTACAACACTATTACTCAAATCTAGTCCCACGTCTTTCATAAATCCTGACTCCACCACTGATCGTTTCCTTCACCTACTCAAATTCTCCAATATTTTTAAGGGCCAAGGTATTGAATGGAAATTGGAACGCAATTTCTGAAATCCGCCGATTCAGATCCGAATATTTTCGATTATGGAATGAAATTTATCATTCGGAATTCCGAAAGTGTCATTTCTGATTTTCCATTTTTTTGCAAGGGAATTGGAATACATATTAGGTTCCGATTTCTAATCCGATTTTAATCTCTGAAAAATACTTCCCAAAATTCCGATTTTTTCTTCTTCAGAAAATGGCACATATAGTATCGATATTGTTATATATTTTATATTCTAGTCGGCTAAAAAAAATGAAATTTCGAATTACGCCAATTTCGGTCGTTTTCAATTTTAGAACAAGTTCTTTACTCCAATTCCGAAATTGCAATTTCAAGATTATTTTTTTAACTAAACTAAAATTAGTTTTTCACTTCCAAAATATGTTTGGAATTTTTCCAGAGAGTACTAATTCCGATCCAATTCGTTCGGTTTCCAACCCCAGTGTCCAAGAATTTCGAGCTAATTAATGTCGATTGAATTTTATTCAACAGACTCTAATAGCAATATCCCACATTTCGAGTGGAATATTGGCGGGAGATTCGGAATATGTGAACATGGAACCATTAGACAGCAGCAAGATCTTGGTCTTGTCTTTGGGCACTGGTATAGCTAAGCAAGAAGAGAGGTACAATGCTGAGTCAGCAGCTAGATGGGGCTTGTTTGGATGGGTTTATAAGAAAGGCAACACCCCTTTGATGGATGTTTTCGGCGATGCAAGCTCCGATATGGTCGATATTCACGTCTCTACCCTCTTCCAATCCCTTCATACCAAGAAAAACTACCTTCGAATCCAGGTCAGCAAAACAAAAATGTAATTTATCATACAAATATGGACGGAAATTCGACTGATCGGATCGGGATTAGAAATGTTGGAAATCGGAGTTTCAGAAATTTGAATGAAAAAACTCGTTTTACAAGTGTAAATTTAGAAACAAAAATAAGATTTTTTTGGAATTATTTTCAAATTTTAAAATTGGACTTTTATATATATTTCAATTCCGATAAAAAAAAAAATCGGCAGAAATTATGAATACGAATTTTCGGATTCAAATTGAAAAATATTGTTCCGAAACCGAAAAATTTGGTGTCGAAATTGGCGGAAATAAAAAATCGTTCCAATTTCCACCCTTACATATAAATATCAAATTATTCACCTCGCTAACCGCTAAAACTATTAGGTACTGGTAATGAGTGAATCATCTAATATTTATATCTCGCATATAACTTTCCGAAACACGATTTTTCTAATGCGATAAATCGAAAACATATTTGATTGATATTATTCTTTTAATATTAAAAAAAGGTGTTCATTAAATTAGCTTATATTTATAGTTTGTTTAATTATAAATTTACACACTCTAACTCTAATAATTTTAGTCTAAGATTAATTACATTTGAAATTTAAGCTTTAAACTTTGTAATTAAGATTTCCATTACATTAACATGCACAAAAACTCCAACTCGAATCCTTAGTCTTCGTATACATGTTCATATAGGATGATACATTGTCCGGAGACGAGTCTTCTCTAGATATGGCAACTCCGGAAAACCTACGAGCACTTGCTGACGTGGCGAAACAACGGCTAAAGAAAAGGATGTCGAGAGTAAATCTAGAAACGGGGGAGTTTGAGGAAGTTGAAGAAGAGGGCACAAACGAAGAGGCTCTTATACGTTTCGCAAAGTTGCTTTCGGACGAAAGAAAGTTAAGAGAAGAAGGCGAAACACATAGAACGATTGTTATTGAATGATAATTGTTTTACACATTATTCAACATTCAGCATTCAGTGCCCGACATTATTGAATAACGAAATCAAAGGTCTTTTTGTCAATTCATTGGAAATAGTACTTCCACCAAATTATTCAATTTTCAGCGGTCGATGCTCAATCGTGTCAAACTCAATAATTTATTGTTCTAATTTTTTTTATTGATAATTTTTTTTTTATATTTCTAATTTCCATTTTTTTTTTGTAAAAATCAAAAATTGGAATAACATAATTATTCTAAAATGAGAATTATTGGAATTAAAATTTGCAAAATTCAAAAGAAATTCGACTCCAATTTCTGAACACATTTATTCATAGGTAATCAGAAAAAAACTGCAACAAACAAGAGAACTAAATTCAAGAAATTCGAGATATAAAACTAATACAAAAGTCAACAAATCAAACACCAAACACTAATTAAAAAACTAACAGAGGTCACAGAATAAGTAGTCAAAGCAGCTATCCGTACAGTCATAGAAGCAAGAGCAACTGCATAATTAAATCAAACAAAAAAATAAATAATAAAAAATAAGAAAAAAAACCCAAAACTTTTAAAAAATAATAAAAATGAAAAATAAAAATTGAAGAATAAATTGGATTACCAGTCGTTAATAACTTTATCTTGTTCATCTTCCATGGGAGGATAATTGGAGGTCGGGTTATCAATTGATTGAACTTCTGGTGGATCCATTTTCTGTTTTTTGACCCGTTTTGCCTTTTAGCCCTTTGTGCCGTGTTTGGAATATCCTTTATATAATAAAGGTGGATTGGAATATTGAGTGGGATTATGAAATTCTTGGTTGTGGTTGGGTGACTCAAAAAGGTAACCGTATCAATTAAAAATATTCAAAATATTGCATTTTCCTTTTTTTTTTTTGGTAATAAAGGAATCCGCAACGACGAGCTATTTAGGTACAATGAGTAAATTTACAGTCTCCACAATAGCTTGCAATGCAATACGAGAGACAACTCAGCGGCGGGAACCGCTAGGTTGTCCCTTGCGGACTGTTTTCATTTTCAATTCATATTAGTTTTAAACAATGATATCAATGAGCTTTTTTTTTTCTTTTTCTTTTTTTATATAAATTAAACAATAATAAATCACATTTATAATTAATTACATTTATAATTAATTAATTAATTAACATTTGTAAATTTACGGTAATATGTCACCAATATAACTCATCAAGTATGGCACCTACAGTATGGTTCGCAAACTATTATACGAGAATTTATGTTTACTCAGTGTACCTATATGGTTGGTTGCGAGTTTTTACATTACAAAAAAAAGTTGAAAGAAAAATACGGTACCTATAAGATTTTTACGGTTCGTAATTAACAAGTACTATTAATTTCAAGTGGGACGATAAAAACGTACTTTCCGACTTATAGTTTCAGTTTTATAGTCATTTACAAAACAAATAATTTTGAATAATATTAATGCAGGTGCGCAATGTAAATTAATTTATTATCTTTCGAGGGTGCAAAATAATATTACTTTTTTCATTCAGTTTTATAGTCATTTACAAAACAAATAATTTATTAAATAATATTAAAGTGGGTACGCAATGTAAAATTAATTTATTATCTTTCGAGGGTATAAATTGATATTACTTTTTTCAATGATGCAAAAGTGCCGAAATGCTACATTTACAAATGAAATTAAGCATTTACAAAACTGGAGTTATCTTTGAATAAAATCACCGTTAAAATGAAGGAAAAGCTAACTATTCATTCTAAAAAAAAACCATCAAAAATATATTTCCCCAAAATGAAATGAAAATGAGTAAAATTAATTATAATTAGATATTTTGGCTAGTTGTTAATTATGTTGTGACCAGTTTAATATTAATTTCATATTCTTACAGTTAATACTAAACATTATTTAAGTTCCACACAAAAAAATACACACAGAGGCACGTCGATGATTACAAATTTTCTTCGAGAAATAAAGCCCCAATTAAGCATGTCAACGAAAACGGGCAGTTCGTACGGACGAAATAAAATTCAAAAGTATCAGAACAGAGACTTAAAAAGGATTGTTTTTCATTGAACACTGATTATCTACATAACAAAGTCTGTTAGAAAAAATAGACTTCGAATCAAAATCGTCGAATCGAAATGCAACCAAAATTACGAAACCACCCCACGTATGTTTCTGCAGTTACTAATTCAGCTCAGTAAATAAACTAGCAATATACGAATCAAAATCATCGAACCCAAATGCAACCGAAATTACGAAACCACCCCCACGTATGTTTTTGCAATTACTAATTCAGTTCAAGAAAGAAACTAGCAACACATGTCTCCAACATTGGGAAGTGGTGAGCATCAGATTTCACAAGTTCAAAAAACAGAGATAAGAATACTTCCCTTTAGAGACGACTCAACGCCATCAGCTGAATCACACGACCGAGAGTTGACTCGAACGTTTGGTCAACTCCTTCCACAACGGGGTAATCAGGGCTGCGATCTGCTGCTCCTCGCTGCTGCACTTGACCAATCAGCTGCACAAACTTCTGGACCGTTACCATCCCAATATCACAAATCTTGGATGAAGTGGCAGCAGAGCTATCTGCGATCATTTTCACAGTTGCAAACAACTCCTCGATTTGCTTCAGATACCATTCTAAGTAATACAGAAACAAAGCCGAAACACAAGAATATATAATAAGATTGCAACCCGAAAAAAAAAAACAAAAAAAAGGGTGGTAAAAAAAGGAGCAATTAGACAATTACCAATACTACCCGCTTCCTCCATGACATGAGCCCTAAGTTTTTCTTCGTAAGACCTAACACGATCCGAAATTTGATCGGCGAAACAGCTGACTTGGTCAGCATAAGCGGTAACTTGTTCGAGGAAATACAAAGCTAGTTCGAGACGAGGAACGACGTGGGCCCTCACTTGTTCTTCGGATGCATTGTAGTAAACAATTGCTCGTACGACATCAGCTCTAAGTCGTTCTCTGTTAGCCGAACATGCCCTCAATGGTTGGACACTATTCTCGAACAGACACGCAAAAAGGTACAACCAGTTGGGCATTTCAAGAATCTGTTGCTCGAGTTGAGGCCAGAGGTGTAGGAGGTTCTGATTGTGGAGGATATCGATTGGGATTGGGATTGATGAAATCGATGGTGGTGGTAATACGGTTGATGGGATAACACAGTTAGCCATTTTCATTTTCATTTTGATTTTCGATTTCAGAGTCTGAAAAGCTTCTTGGAATCCGGAGATGCGTTTTTCTAGCAACGTTTTGCTGTGTTCCTGATTATTCAATTTAAACATGAGATTAATCAAACAAATCGTAATTGATTTGGCAGATATATCATAAGATAGTTGACAGATACATCATAAGAAAACATGGTCGAATTCAGAACATGAAAATAACAGCAGCTGTAATTTTGAACCAGGAACACATAGATTAGATGTTTCTCTCTCTTAACCGGCAGGGAATTAACCAGGAACACAGAGATTATGTGTTTCTCTCTCTAAAACGGCAGGAAATTAACCAGGAACACAGAAATTATGTGTTTCTCTCTCTAAAATGGCCCCAAATTCGAATGCGAAGGCTAAATAAATTCGGATTCGTGAAGGATTGAACGAATAAACAAAATAAAACACATATAACATGAATTGCAACGCCGGAAAGATGAAGAAAAAAATGCAAAAAAAATTAGTATCAGTAAGAAGAAAACGTATGATTTCGTCCGTGGGGCTTCCGTCTTTTCCAAGTCAACTTGGTCCGTACTCCGGTGCAGGTACCTGCAACGCCGGGAGGGGTTCCCGGCGGGAAAGCTCCGACGATCAAGTCAGCGATCGGAATGGAAAAATGTGTATGCAATGTAACAGTAATTAATGTGTATTCTTGTGTGTGTATGTGTGATGATCATTCTATTTATAGAGATGGAGAAAACTTGGCCTCCAAGGCTTTCCCTTTTTAGGGTTTCTCTTTACCCTCAAGTCACATATCTTGGGCCTGTATTGCCTTGGGCTCGCCCTACCTCGTTTTGGTATTGGGCTGGCGAGTTAAGGTATTCCCATATAGTTCCCGAGGTTTGCACAATACAGCGACCTCGCCCATAACTTCGAGCTAAGTCATCATGTGCTCTTTATCGTGGGCCTATCATACTGGGCTTATCCTAATGGGCTTACGCTTATTCGTTATTTGTCAAACTGGCCCGTATCAACTACTCCCCCCTACTCCTTATTTATAAAACGGGTTGGCTTTCCCTTACTTCGTTTTATAAGTATGGAGTATGAGGTGTTAGTTCGTACTTCGATTTAAGTTCACGTCGGCGTACGCAACCCCCTTCCCTTTTTCTTCCATTAATTGCTCTGACATCCCGTGTGGTCGATTCGGGTTCCCTAGGTCATCATGAGGAGATTTCAATCAACGCTTTTCGCGCCAGGTTCGAGGCGATCTGCATTAAATCTCGTCCGTCCGGATAAACGGTTATGATTGGTTTTCCCTCTTCCCTAGGTCATTACTGAGGGATTTCTATCGACACCTCTTGCGCCGGATTCGAGGCGATCTACTTTGAATCTCGCCCGTTCGAATAGACGGTCACGATCGAATTCTCCTCCTTTCTTTCTCCTATAAGTATCTGACTTCTACGAATTTTCAAAATTTTTTCCTCTTCTTCACTTCTGTGCTCTCCCCGTCTTTGTTTACTTCCGGCGACTTTGCTTTTCCCAGAACCAAGTTCTTTCCATCCCGTGCTCGTTTTCTTCTTCGACAAAGGTACTCCATTTTTACCCTGCTTTTTACTGTTCTTAGCCTATGTCTTCCAATTCCCCCGACCCTTTCGGTCAGAGAATGCCTTCCAGAGAGGGAGATGAATATCCTACCCTCACTCTCTCTTCTTCTTCGGAGGAAGGGCCCTTCTTTTCCCCTTCGGGTAAATTACTGAAAAAATCTAAGAGAAAGGGGAGAGACGACGTTCTGTCCTCCGCGAGGAGTGGCTCTCCTTCATTGTCTGAGGGGCGCGATTTAGACGACCAGTGGGGACCCAGTACCTTAAGCGAGGTGGACTTAGACAATTTAGTTCGCGATATAGGCCTTCCTACTGACGTCGAACTAATATTACCTTCTCGAGATCAACGTCCCTTAAGTCCACCCCCAGGTTTCAGCACCTGGTTCTCGGAACAGTTTTATTTCGGTCTTTCTTTTCCTATCTCGTCTTGGTTTTCCGAGATTGCGCAATTGTGCAATGTATCCCTCAATCAGTTTCATCCCCATGCCATAGTCGTCATGACCGGGTTCCGCATGCTTTGCGCCTGGTCGGGCGTGACCCCTACTCCAGCTCGATTTCGGAGTGTGATGGTCTTAAAAAATTCCAGTCCCTTCCACATCTCTATCTCGGCTCGCCCGGGTTTCAAAATATTAATGCCGCCCAATAAAACTGATGGGTGGCAGGGTCACTACTTTTTTGCGAAAAACCCCACTGATACCCCTTACCTATGTCCTTGGTTCGCCACCTTGCCCGACAAGCGGAGGGGAAAACCCCTGGCGATTGACGAGTGGCTTTTGAAAATGATTGTTCATTTTCAACCAAGTTATGGTATGCCTGAGACTCTTACAAGTTTTCCACCGATACTTCGCCATTTCTACTTCCATGACAACGACACTCATCCCCTAACTCAAGAGGATTTAGGTGGGTTTAAACATGATATTAATTTTCTGTAATAGCTCGTCATTCATTTCGGGCTGTTGCTCTTTATTTGACTGTACTTTATGCTTGTCGATATATTGCCCACTTGCTCACCACATTTTCCTTAATCCCACGAACAGACTTAAGGATGAAGAGGATGTTCCGAGGTGACAAGCCGGCGACTCGCCCATCCGAATCGGAGCCGGAATTTCAGGCGTCCGAATTTCAGCGCCCTGTGGCCGCTGAATCCGAGAAAAGGTCCTCCGAAGAGGGGGCTCTAAGGCAAAGGTCTTCTAAGAAGAATGTTGGGGCTTCGCGTCCCCGAGGTGGGCCACGCGTTGAGGATCCCGAGCTTCCTCGTCGATCCTCGGCCATAGTTGCAGTTCCCTCTCCGCCACCTTCCTCGGCCGAAGAACAGGTGGAAAAAGAGCCCACCACGAAGAAGAGAAGGGCTGATCTAGCCCTTGGGCTGGTCGGGTCGACGCCTGGGCAGACCGGGTCAGCTTCGGGGCAAGTTGGGTCATCTCTGCCTCCTAACTTTGCACTTCATCTCTGCCAGAACGCAGAGAACGCCATTGCTGCTTGCCGAGCTATGGCGCTTCCCCGAGACGTTGCTCACTTCGGGCAAATGAGCAAGGGCGATCGGCTCGAGTTGCTTTTACATAACATAACACAGGTTTGTTTTACCTCGCACGCACGAGTTAGCTTTTAAGTTTCTTAGTCACAATTGGTTTTACTTAAGTCTCCTGTATGTGTAGCAATTTGCGATCGCCTTTTCGGGCCCTTTGGGGTGGGATGACGTCTCTCGTGAGGCGTATGATAACCAAAAGAAGGAGGTCGGTCAGCTCCGCAAAGAGGTCCGAGGTCTGAAGGAGAGTCTGGCGGTGTCCGAGTCGGCGAAGGAGGGGTTGTTCGCCGAGGTGAGGAGGCTACAAGAGAGGGAGAAGATCTTACAAGCAGAGAAGGACTCTTTAGCATCCCATAATGCGAGCTTAGAGGAAAAAGCTAAAGGGCTTTCTAACGAGCTATTTGCGGCCGGGGTGCAGGCATCTTCCAACTTCACCGAGGGAGTGAAGGAAGGCCACAGGCTGTTCCCGGGTTCCTCCGAGGGTCTGCGCTTCATGGAGGCGTTCGTCCATCGTTTTTTCGATCGGCTATGGCGTTCGACGACGTTTACCCGACAAGCATCGGGCTTAGCTCGCTTCTTCTTCTCGGAAGCGGTGAAGGCTGTCCGGAAACGGTTAAGTGGTGCTGGTATTGAGTTCCCCTTGGCTGAAAATGAGCTTGCCGAGGACTTGCCTGATGACGTGATCCCGGGTTTTGAAGGGGACGTGAACGAGGACCCCGACCTGGAGTGGTGGAGGCAGGTGCATCGAGAGTTAGTTGAAGACTTCTCTCGCCAAGGAAGCTCCTCGGTGATCATTACCGACCTTGTTGGAGATGTCGAGACCATTGACGCAATGGCGAATCTGAACAAGACACCGCCCGACCTTACCTCATCTCCCTCTCCGACCGCCGGGGATCAAAGCGGAACCGGGATGGTGCTGTCCGAGAAAGCTTAGCCAGTTTTTCTTTTGTTTTTGCCCGTTTTTGTATCTTATTCCTTGTACAATGTACTCGTATTTTTCCTTTGCATGTTCCGAACAACTTATTTCGTTTTTTGCGTTTCAATATATCAACAAGTTTATTTGTTTTAATTTTGTTTTTCATGTGTGCCGGGGCTGCTTTTACTTTAGTGCAGTATATTCAGGAATGGTTAGTGAATTTTAGCAAAGTACTATCTGAACTTGAGTTGAATCTTTTAGGACCCGTGTGGGTGGTCGTCCTTTGATCTCATTGATTTAGGACTTAACCTGATCTCGGCAAGCTTTTTGATAATTTACTTGTGTTTGAACTTAGCCTTTGGCTATTGCTTCCTTTGGCAAAACATGCGATTTAACGTTTCAGCAGAACATGTGTTTTAATGCCTTGATAAAACGCGCAATTTAACGCCTCGATAAAACACGCGACTTAACGCTTCAATGAAACATGCGATGTAACGCCTTGATAAAACGCGCGATTTAACGCCTCGATAGAATACGCGATTTAACGCCTCGGTAAAACACGCGATTTAACGCCTCGGTGAAACACGCGATTTAACGCCTCGGTAAAACACGCGATTTAACGCCTCGGTGAAACACGCGATTTAACGCCTCGGTGAAACACGCGATTTAACGCCTCGGTAAAACACGCGATTTAACGCCTCGGTGAAACACGCGATTTAATGCCTCGGTAAAACACGCGATTTAACGCCTCGGTAAAACACGCGATTTAACGCCTCGGTGAAACACGCGATTCAACGCCTCGGTAAAACACGCGATTTAACGCCTCGGTTTGTAATTTAAATAGATAACACAAGGATATTTTTAACGTGGAAACCCTCCAAATAAGGAGAGAAAAAACCACGGGGCCTAGCCCAGCTCGAAAAATGGACGTTTATTGATGTTCTTCTTTTACAAGATGTGCTGCTTCTCTGCTTCTCTCTCTCTCTTTTTTTTTTTTTTTTTTTTTTTTTTTTTTTTACGCGAAGAAGCGTTTCAAATGGATGACATTCCATGCCCGTGGCAATGGTTTTCCTTCTACATCTGCCAGCTCGTATCCCCCACCAGCCAAACACTTTGTGACCACGTATGGTCCTTCCCAATTAGCTTCCAGTTTTCCTGTGTGTTTTAGGGCATCAGCTCGTCGTAGAACGAGATCACCGATCTGGAATGAGCGAGATCGAACCCCTTGGTCATATCGGGCCTTGATCAAATTCTTGCTTCGTTCCATGTGTAAATAGGCTGCTTCTCGCAAGTCAAAAATCTCGTCCAGCCGGGTTCTCAATGCACCGTCGTTTGCTTCTTCATCGAACGTGGCTATGCGGAGTGTATCCATTGCCACTTCTACTGGAATTACTGCTTCGGTTCCGTAGGTTAACCGAAATGGTGTTTCACCGGTAGCTGCTTTGGCCGAGGTTCGGTAAGACCAAAGGACCGAAGGTAACTCATCTACCCAGCTGCCTCCTAGTTCGTCTATCCTCTTCTTCAAGCCATTGACAATGGTTCGGTTTGTAGATTCGACCTGACCATTGGCTTGAGGGTGTGCTACTGCCACAAACTTCTGTGTGATCTTCATCTCCTCGCACCACGCGCAAATCTTTTTGCCATTGAATTGAGTGCCATTATCCGAGACGAGGCTTCGGGGTAGACCAAACCGGCAACAAATATATTTCCAAATGAAATGCATGACCTCGTCCTCTGTTATTTTTGACAAGGCCTCAGCTTCAACCCACTTGGTGAAATAATCCACCGCGACGATAAGGAATTTCTTCCTGCCAGTGGTTTGAGGAAAAGGTCCCACTAGATCAATTCCCCATTGGGCAAAGGGGCAGGGGGCGCTCATGATGGTCATTTCTTCTCCCGGTTTATGGATAAGTGGGGCAAATTTCTGACATTGTATGCAACGTTGTACGTATTGATGGGTGTCCCTCTTCATGCCGGGCCAATAGTATCCGGCCCGATGTAATTTCTGTATGAGGGACCGAGCTCCTCCATGTTCTCCACAACCTCCTCGGTGTACTTCGTCCAGGACATGTTTCACCTCTTGTTTTCCTAAGCATCTTGCATCCACCGTGGTGAAGTTTCTCTTGTATAATATCTCATGTCGTACGTAGAAGTGTCTGGCTTTGTATGCTAAGCGATGTTGCTCCCTAATTGTACCGGTTCGTTCCCCTCTGAAATATGCGAACAAAGGTGTTCGCCAATCGGATTCCTCATCGATCATCATGATCCCGGGTGTCGGCGTAGGAGCAATGAGAATGGAGATCTTCCTTTCGACGCAATCGACGACCGACGACCCAATTTTGGCGAGGAAGTCAGCTCGCTGGTTGTCATTTCTCGGAATCTGATGTACGGTGCAAGCTTCGAAAGTTTCTTGTATTGCTCGGGCTTTGTTTACATATCCTTTCATTCTATCGTTTTTCACTTCGTAATCCCCTTCAAACTGGTGTATAACCAATTGAGAGTCGGAGTTTATTCGTACCACCCGTGCACCGAGTTCTTGTGCGATTTCCATACCCCGGATGAAGGCTTCGTATTCCGCTTCGTTATTGGAGACTCGTGGTAATTTAACAGCAAATTCCACCTCGATCCCCGTGGGGTCAATGATTATGATTCCTGCCCCTGCTCCTGTTGCTGTGGATGACCCATCCACGTAGACTCTCCATTCTTTCTCCATAGGTACCCTAGTGGTTTCCCGGATGAAATCCGCCAACGCTTGTCCTTTGACCGAGGTACGAGGTTGATATTGGATTTCATATTGTCCTAACTCAACTGCCCATTTAACAATTCGTCCCGATGCCGTAGGTTGGCCTAGGGTTTGTCGGAGTGGTAAGCTCGTACGGATTACCATTGTGTGAGATAAGAAGTAAGGCCGGATTCGCCGCGTAGTGAGGACCAGCGCGTATGCTATTTTCTCAACTTCTGAGTACTTAATCTCCGAGTTAGTGAGGATCTTGCTGATGTAATAGATCGGTCGTTGTTGACCACTTACCTCTTTGAACAAGACTGAACTAATCGATTCGTCTCCCACCGATAGATATACGAATAAGGTTTCGCCTTTCTCGGGGGTGCTAAGGATGGGCAGGCGAGTTAACGAAACTTTTAGTGCCTCGAACGCGAGTTGGCATTCTTCGGTCCATTCGAACTGTGCCGCTTTTCTCAAGACTTTGAAGAAAGGCAGACTTTTATCAGCCATTCGCGATATGAATCGAGCCAAAGCCACCACTTTACCGGCTAAGGACTGAACTTCTTTTATAGACCGAGGAGGGGTCATTCGGAGTATCGCCTCGACTTTATCTTGGTTCACCTTGATACCTTCTCGATTAACTACATACCCGAGAAATTTTCCAGCCTTTACTGCGAATGCACACTTTGCTGGGTTCAACTTCATCCCATAAAGGCGAAGGGTGGCAAATGTCTCAGCCAAATCAGCAAGGTGCGTGGAGCATTTTTTGCTTTTGACCAGCATGTCATCGACGTAAACTTCGATATTGCGCCCGAGCTGAGCCCGAAACATCCTATCCATTAGTCTCTGATACGTAGCTCCCGCATTTTTCAAGCCAAAAGGCATCACCACATAACAATAAGTGCCCGTGGCTGTGATAAAGCTCACTGCAGGTTGGTCCCTTTCCTCCAACGGGATCTGGTGGTATCCTTGCGAAGCGTCCATCATGCTGAGTAGCTCACATCCGGCGGTAGCGTCTACGAGCTGGTCTATGCGAGGTAAGGGATAGTCATCTTTCGGGCAGGCCTTGTTTAAGTCCCGAAAATCGATGCACATCCGCCACTGTCCATTACTCTTTTGCACCAACACCGCATTGGACAACCATGTGGGGAATTGGATTTCCCTAATATGCCCAATATCGAGGAGTCGTTGGACTTCTCGCTTGATAATTTCGTCCTTTTCGATGCCGAAGTGTCGTCGCTTTTGTTTGATAGGTTTGCACTCGGGTCGCAGATTGAGCCTGTGTACAGCGGTACGAGGTGCGATGCCAGTCAAATCGCTGGGTTGCCATGCAAAGACGTCTACATTAGATCGCAATAATGCTATCAGCTCATCTCGAAAGGGTGGTTCTAGGTCTTTGCTTATCTGGGTTTGCTTCGACGTGCCGGGGTCGAGGTCGATTGTCATCAATTCGTCCATGGGCTGTACATGAGCGATTTTCTCTTCCGGATCAATTCGAGGGCGTTTCTCGTCTCCCAGATCTTCTTTAGTGAGGGTATCACGTCGTCCTTTCTCCGCCACTTTGACCATCTCTACGTAACATGATCGCGACTGGGCTTGGTCACCACGGACTTCCCCTATTACTCCATCAACTGGAAATTTGAGCTTTTGGTGAATAGTCGAGGGGATCGCCCGGAAGATGTGCATCATTGGTCGGCCTATCACGATGTTGTACGAGGTGGTAGACCCCTCGACAATGACAAAATTGACAGTTTGTGTACGTGCCCGAGGTGGTGTTCCCATGGTGACGGGGATCTTGACCTGTCCGATCGGAGTCAAGGATCCTCCCGTGAACCCAAATATCGGGGTGGTGACAGGGAAGATTGGGAGATCTAGTTCCATCTGTAGAAAACATTCGTAAGATATGACATCAACCGAACTCCCCGAGTCAACGAAGGCACGGGCTACATCGTATCCTCCGACGTTGATTGTGATAAGGAGGGGATCGCAATGAAAATCATCGAGATCTGCTTCATCCTCGGGTCCGAACGAGATGGTGGGATATTGACGGCGCTTCGGCGCAGAGATTTGGCAGATTTCATGGTTATTCTTGAGGTTACCAAGATGACGCCGCCTAGCTCGGTGAGTGTCTCCCCCCGTAGGTCCCCCCGAAATCATCTGGATGTACCCTCGTTTGGGCATCGGTGGTGGAGGCGGGACTCGTGCAGGATTTCCGAATTGAGCTTCACGCTTTTGTCCTCGGGGGGGGGTCTATCTTCACGAAGTCCCCGATTTTATTATCTCTGATAAGACGCTCCACCTCATCCTTTAAATGCGAACAATCATCTGTCACGTGTCCGTATTCGTTATGAAAACGACAAAAGGTACCCAATGCGGGATTTCGGCGAGGCTCTTCTCGGGCAGTCCGGGGCCAACGCAAGTCAGGTCTCTTCTCGATTGCGCATAACACCTGGGATAAGGGTGCTGTGAGAGGCTGGTACGACTGATATCGGGATCCCTTGGCATCCGGGGTGGCGCCTCGACCAGAGCCAACGCTGGGTATTGTATCTCTTCGCGGCAACATGGGTTCCTTACTTTTCCTGGCTTCGCTAGTTCGCGCATTCAGCGTATGGTGAGATTCCTCTACTTTCTGTTGTCTGGCTTCTTACAGATTAATGAATCTGGATGCTCTTTCCAGCAGATTGTCGAAATCAGGTGAGGGTTCGAGCGCTAGGGCTCGGAAGAACTCGTCGTCCCTTAATCCCTGTGAAAGAGCTGCCATAAGCACTTCGTCGCTCGTGGTGGGGACTTCCAGCGTGGCCGAAGTGAACCGTTTGATATAATTCCGAAGACTTTCTTTCTCTTTCTGGCGGATGCTGAACAGCGACAGCGAGGTCTTTTTGCACTTCTTCGAGCTAGCGAATTCATTCATGAAGGCCTTGGCAAACTGTCCAAAGGAGTGTATGCTCCCAGGCATCAACAAACCGAACCAGGCTTGGGCCGGCCCAGCTAAAGTGGTGACGAACGCGCGGCACTTCACTCCTTCCGTGAGCTGGTGGAGTGATGCTGTGTTGTTGAACCGACTCAAGTGCTCGGCAGGATCTGACGTACCGTTATACTCGAACAGAATTGGCCGGTAATTGGCTGGTATGGGGTCGTTGTCGAGGTGCCTGGCGAAGGGGCTAGATCCTGCGAGATCTCGCGTTGGTCCATTCCGCAAGGCTTTTAACTCATCCATATCGCGCCTCAGGCTGTCAACTTCCGTCCTGACGCCATGACTGTTGCCTTCTCGATTTTCAGAATAGCTGTCGCATTCATCCTCAGCCCGTCCCTCATTCAAGGAGAGCCTGAGATCTCTCCTAGATCGGTTATCCTGGGGTAAGGATTGAGCATAATTCCGAATGGCTGCGGTGATCATGGTCTCCACCTCGTCTCTGGTGTATGTACGCTCATTGGGGGTTTGAGCCGGGGCCGTGACTGGTTTCCTTGAAGCAGCTTCGCCACTCTGGAACTCGAAAGAGGGGCTACCTGCGGCGGAAGGAACCCGACCTTCCTTTTCAGGTGTGACCAGGCTGCAGCCGGACTTGTCCTTCAAGACAGAGGACAGACCGGCAGTGGGCGTATCGCGAGCTGCTGCATCCAATTCTTTCTGCAAATTTCGGACAGTGGTATCTCCTTCTTCCATTGTTCTCTACGTTTATAGCTCAGATCTGGACTTCCGGGGGCAGATCTGATATTTTCCCGAAAGTTGTTCCCAAAGCTTCTAGATCTTTCCCACAGACGGCGCCACTTGATTTCGTCCGTGGGGCTTCCGTCTTTTCCAAGTCAACTTGGTCCGTACTCCGGTGCAGGTACCTGCAACGGCGGGAGGGGTTCCCGGCGGGAAAGCTCCGACGATCAAGTCAGCGATCGGAATGGAAAAATGTGTATGCAATGTAACAGTAATTAATGTGTATTCTTGTGTGTGTGTATGTGTGATGATCATTCTATTTATAGATGGAGAAAACTTGGCCTCCAAGGCTTTCCCTTTTTAGGGTTTCTCTTTACCCTCAAGTCACATATCTTGGGCCTGTATTGCCTTGGGCTCGCCCTACCTCGTTTTGGTATTGGGCTGGCGAGTTAAGGTATTCCCATATAGTTCCCGAGGTTTGCACAATACAGCGACCTCGCCCATAACTTCGAGCTAAGTCATCATGGGCTCTTTATCGTGGGCCTATCATACTGGGCTTATCCTAATGGGTTTACGCTTATTCGTTATTTGTCAAACTGGCCCGTATCAACGTACGGAAGAAATTATACGTTTCTCTCTCTAAAGCGGCATCAAATTGTGAAAAAATGAACAGAGAAACAAAATACCAACACTTATAACAGTGTAACATGAATCCCAACGCAAAAAAAAAAAACAAATAGTATGTATCAGTAAAATGAAGACGTACGGAGGAGTGGAGACGAAGAACATGTAGAGAAAGAGATGAAAGAGAGATATGAAACTGACTGATAAACCCTAATTTTTCACCTTCGACATTTGGGGCTGAGATTCAAGCCTTCAGCAAATCACCTTTTCCGATTATCGTCCAGAAGAAAGCTTACTTCTAGAGAGAGAAAGTGAGTGAGGAATCAGAAAATATTGAAATATAAGCGTGATCCTTGTCAGTACTCAATTTGACTCTTTTGGCATTTACTGATTTACGTCCCTGAGATTTAATTCTTATTACAACTAGAACCTTTACCTTTGAAATTTTATGCAAAATCCCCCTTCATAGCTTTATGTGATTACGGATGTTACCAAATTGGAGTTGGATTTAATTAGAACTATAGTTAAAAGAAAAGGAAAAAAAAAAAAAGAGAAGGAAGTATTTAACTTTTTTTCTTGTGCGGGGGAAAGATTATTTATTAAGGAAAATTACGACACTCCTGAGTTAAAATTAAATTACGAAAAAACCCTTCATGTTTGTATAATTACAAGCACCCCTTCAACTATGTATTACCTTACGAAAAATCCCTCGTATTGATAAATTTATTGGTAAAATTGTACAGAAATTGTGGGGTACACCAAAATTTTGTACCGTTTAGTGTTTGGTTCGATAAATAACCGAATTACCAAAATTTTATTAAAAATATTTAAAATTTTGATTTTTCGATTTTTTAATTAATTTTAATTTAAATACTAATATTACATATATACATAAAACAAAGTAAAACTGAATATCACAACGAATTAAGGGGTGGTTGTAATTATACAAACAAGAGGGGTGGTTGTAATTATACCTTACTTCAGGAGGGGTGACCATAATTTACCCTATTTATTATTACAAAAGTCTATTAATTTAATATTTTACTTCCAAGATTGTTATTTTTCTTTAAATTCAATTATGGTTCGACCCAGTCTCAGAGCATTCACCATGGGACAGTTGCATATATGTTGGGTTGGCAAATGGGGCTTAGAATCAATTTGTAATCAAAAGTGACAGATATTGTGTGGTTTTTGGTGAAGAATTCAACTTAGTTTACTTGTTTATCTTCTTTTTTGGCAAATTCAGAAGCATCATATATAGACATTCAATAGAAAGAATAAGTTTTTTCATTGACAAAATGATTAATTGAAGTTACACGTGTATCTGCAAAACAAAGTCTTTTTTTCACAAAATTATATACTACTTCAATAAAAATTATCCATCCCAAACGCAGCAAAAGATAACGAATACTAGCTCGAATATATTTCGATCATTACTCATTCTCCTCAAGATAGAAACTTCACAATCCTATGCAAGACGAAACCAAACACGAACGATTACATGAAATACATGCTCCCTTGTCGGTTTCGTTCGACCTTTTGCCCAATTCTATTCGGCCCAACCCAATTATATTCAGCCCAGCCCAATTTATTATGAAGTATCAAATATGAGAGAGAGAGAGAGAGTTTCTTAGACTGAACTAAAATTCTGAGCAAAGCAAAACAGAGAATGCCTTAAATTTACAATATAATTTCTAAGCATTTACTCCAAACATAAGCATCTCGTTGCTTTCCTATGTTATCTCGATAATTCGTGTCAAGATAAATATAAATTCAAAACCCCACCAACGATGAAACCAAGCCCCAACGAATAGTACATACGTCTCTGTTTTCGGTATTGTTCGATCTTGACCAAATTTTGTTCAATCTGAATGAAATTTTGTTCGATCTGAATGATAGTTTCTTCGGAACTAACCCAAGTTTGTTCGGTCTTAGCCATCGTTTCTTCGGCAATAGTCCAACCTCTTTCCCTGGCCCACTCTTTTATGGCCCTAGCCTTCTCTTGTTGATGGCGGCACTCGTCCAGAAACCTTTTCGTATCCCTGCATATTACGATTAAACATAAGATTAATCAAAACAAATCGAAATTACAGTTTCGATAAGATTAATCAAAACAAATAATTCCGTAAAGAGAGCTCAGATTCGTTCGTTCGTACCGGTGGAATTTACGATATGAAAAAATAACAATGATGAAAACTTTATGTGTTTCCTCTTCTGTATTTAAAGGGCACCAAATTCGATCGTAGAAACAAGCAAAATCCAAATTGAAAACGAAAATTGAAATAAAAACACAAAATATGATACACCAACACCCCCGAAAACTACGGTTTGATTCGGTAATTAACGAATTACCAAGATTATCGAAACTGTAATTTCGATTCGGCATTGTGCACGGTTTGATTCTGTTTACCGAAATTCTACCCAAGAAAAACTACCCAATATTCAACTCCAGAAGAAAAAAAAGGTGGCAATTAGGAATTAAAAGGAAAGAAATTCACAAACCATGATTTGCCCTCGTCGGGATTAGCCCTAAATCGGCGTACAAAACCCCAAAATTCTTCAGTGGCAGCGCAAGTTCTTTCTACCGTAACCCACATTTCCTCAATCTTCGCCCAATCGCTTTGGCTAACCCAATCCCCTTCGAACATCGCGCAATCGTACTCGCGTTTAGCCATCGCTTGACCTACTCTGGCTTTGACTTGCTCCGCCCTCTGCATCAATTCCATGGGGTAAACATTCTCCGGGCATCGGTGCGCCCTGATGAATTCGCCCACAAATGCGTTGTCGTTGCCGTATTTGAGAATCGAGCAGCTGCGGTTAAACAAGAGGGATGGAATCGGAGCCGCGGCGGCGCCGCTCTTCATTTGGGAATCTAGGATCCCTCGCCGGAGTTCGAACCACGCCTGTCCCGGCGGCGGAAGCGGCGGCCTGTGGTCCATTAAGGCTACGGTGGTGTAGCTCAACGCGTACTCAATTTCCGGGCTCCGTTGATCCGGCGACATATTTTTTGTTTGGATTATACTCGAGAAGAAACGCAAACCCTAATTCTAATATTGAAGTTTTCAGCAGTTTTTGAATTATACGCGACAAGAAAACGGAATTCTAGAGAGAGAGACGAGTGAGGGAAGGATTGCGAAATAATTGAATTGAGGAGAGAGAATATAAGCGTGATCCGAGTCGGTTACTCGGTGTCCCTTTTAGCATCTACATCCCTGAGATTAATTCTAACTACAAATGGAACCCCCATCTTTGAACATTTATGGAATCCCCCTTATGTGATATTATTTACTAAGAGGGTGTTTGGCTAAGCTTATAAGATGTTAAAAGGAGCTTATAAGATGTTTAAGAGCTTATAAGCTCTTCTAAAGTGTTTGGTAAATTTTTAGATAAAGATCTTAATTTTGTTTAAAATAAGCTGTTGGAGAGCAAATAAGATCTTTTTAAATAAGTACCTCTACCTCACTTTTTTTTTTAAGATCTTTTAATGAGTAAAAAAATAGAAAATAAGCCCATTATCCAAACACTCTAAAAATTAATCTTAAAAATAAGATGTAACAACTTATCAGCTCTTAAAACATCTTATTAGACATTAGAGTTTATCAGTTTTTAAAAATAAGTTTACCCAAACACTCTCTAAAACTATAACTAAACAAAAAGATTGAGAAGGAAATTATTAACTACTTTTTTTATGAGAGGAAAAAAGATTAAATATTTATTTTTATTGGAGAAGAGGAAAGGTTAAGTAGTTGTTATGTATTGACATTGATTAGATATTAGGAACAATATTAATTTAATATCTTTATCTGCATTAAATGCATTTTTTTCATATTTTAATCTTATTAATTCAATTATAATATTAAGTCTTTCTTACCATATTATTAAATATGGGTTATTTTATATACCCCTAGCCACCAAATAAACTAGGGATAAACTCAAGCTCAAATTATCCTTTGGTATACCCCTGGGGAAGCGAAAGTACTATACTACCCTTATGTGCAATTTTCGGCCAAATTGCATTTAGCATTTATGGTCCTGCATTTATCATTTTCGCTGATTTATTTATTATTATTTTCCTTTTTTTTTTTTTATAAATCTGTTTTTTTAATATATATATATATATATATATATATATATATATATATATATATATATATATATATATATATATATATATATATATATATATATATATATATATATATATATATATATATATATATATATATATATATATATATATATATATATATATATATATATATATATATATATATATATATATATATATATATATATATATAGAGAGAAATATATAAAAAGAGAGATGTATAAAAAAAAAACCAGAGAGATATAAAAAAAAATTTTTTATTTTTAAAAAAAAAAATTGTGTGATTTTAAAAAAAAAAAAATAAGTGTGTT